AAAAAATGCGTCTGTGGGAGAAGGAGCGCTCTTCCAATATGATTAATTACATAGTTCTAACGTAATAATAGCCACCATCCGAAGGCTGTTTTACATTGGACTCTACCTGGTGAGTAAAGAAACTATTGAAGTCTTTGACAAACCTGTGCAATCTTTTTTGGAAGATATAAGAACCGTTAGTATGTACTGGAATGATGTCAGGAATGCTCTAATTACCCAAAATTATTGGAGAAAGTTTTCCTCCTAAATATAGCGTACTAAAAGATTAAATGATGATGACAATGCGTATTATTGCGTATTATTGTTGTTGTTGTTATTATTGTTATTACTGACAAAATAAATGTACAAACAATGAAAAGCAGAAACGACAAAATTGTTTAATTGTTGATTTGTGAGACGTAGGCAAAAGCCGAAGGAGTCGCACCATCTTGGCATCGCCCTGACCTGCGCGCTCGGCATGTCTGCCCTCCCTTCGCCTTCACGCAGTACACGCGCGTGCCAGTCCAAGGAGGCCGTCGCCGCCGCCGCGCACGGCCGCTGCGGGAGGCGAATGTTTGCGGAGGAGTGCGCGGCGCACGCCGCCTGCCACGCGCACCTGGCGCGCGCTGCTCCTCGCAACGCCAGCGGGCACCTCTACTTACTCTCTACTCACGGAGGCTTTATTCAATATTATTATTATTAATACTATGGCAATCGCAATTAACAAATTAAGTTAGTTGTAATGAATAAATAGTTGTGATTTCTGAGATAACTATGGATACAGCTGTGTCAATAAGAAAAGCCGTATATGCCATTAAGATGCAACAAGTGGAACGGAATAAAGAGAAATGGAATCAATATCTTAGCTACGTCTGTTACAGACTAATCCACTAATTTCACAATTATTTTTAGTGCTAACAAGCAGATTGCGCCCGTCTAAAAATGCTTTCTGTCGTAGAAATTCGATAATTTTGACAACAGCTAGCTAATCAGCGCGGCTCTTTAGGGGATTGATTGTGCTAACGACAATAAAATGTTCTTTGAGAATTGGAGTTTTGGGAGTATTCACTTGTGGACACTGTTAAAGGATAAATAAATATCCAAGTCCTGTGTGTTTGCTTTTTTTGCTGTTTAATGTGAAGAAATATTACTCTGCCAATAAATCTACAGTACTCTCCCAAGAGTACTAGGGCAGGCACGATAAATTACTACTCATTGACTGAAAAAACATAATTAAGACAACTTCATGTTGTATGTATACTCAATACATTCTATTAATTTAATACATTTTTGTTTCGAAATAAATTTAAAAACCCCATTGTCTCAAAAGTAATATCAAATTTCAAATATATTTTACATTATCACAATAAAACATAGAAATGTATTACAGCAGAAAAGTAGTGCAATCCAATCCTAATTTGCACACAATGGCTTCACCGCCAAGATATAGAAGTGTACAAAATGAAATATACGAATGATTAAACGGCGACGTTACATTTACATCCATCAATAATGCAATGGCGATTCATATAAACCCTCATTGACAAGTCCTGAGGCCGGGGTCACGAGCGACTCGTGTTTCCAGCTACTCAAACACGCGTCTCACTTCAAAACTCAAGAGCGCGAAACGAATTAATAGCTCCGTCGCCCCGCTCACGCGAGAACACAGTGTTCTCGACCCGCCCCTATTTCCCCGACGGCTTGTCGACCACGAGGGGTCGCTGGTGCGCTCGTCACAATAACAAACGAGGCTACGTCGAGAGAGACGCAAGTCGGTCACCGCGGACCACCCACGCCAGTGGCTCTGGGACGCGGTCGCCGCCTCTCTCGAATCCCCTGAATCACCTCTGCGCTCTTCATCGTTCATGCAGCGTGAGACGACACAATTAATTCCACACAAAAGAACCCCTTACAACAGGGGTTTCCCCTGGATCTTTCAATATTTTTCTAAGTTAATACATTTATTTATATTTTAATATCGTTACATGGGTATATTTATTACCGTCATTCGATTTGATGACACCCATATTTATTAATGAGGAAATCGTTGAAAGTTCACTTTACAAACATTTATTAATACTGAAAACTCCTTAAGACATTCCTAGAAACTTTACACACCTATTTAAAGAAAGAAAGAAAATGCAACGCAGGGACATGCGAAAAACACGCTCTTCTTGATTGCCAACTAGGAGCGAAAGAATGCACTGAATCATCACCCATTCAGTGAAAATTCGCGGTATCTATTTATTTTCCCTGAGGCTCAACAATTTAGGTCACTGAATTAATCGATATGCTAACAATTTGTAAAAATAATTTAGATTCATCATCATTTGCCAATAAAAGACGTATCTTCGTGGTAACATCTTCTAATACTTAAAGAAACAATACGTGAATTGATTTGAATGGATTGACAGTTCTGTAGGCACAATTGATTTCAATGAATTACGATAGCATTCATCATTCATCTAGCGTGATATTGCGGAATTAATTTAGGACAGGGGTTGGTAAACTGCAACATTCAAAAGGATCTACTCTAATATATAAAAGGCTTAATAAATATATTCGAAAACCTACGTTTTCATCGTCGCATTTATATTCACATCCTTGAGGCAAAGATTGATGTCTACTGAGAGGAACTAATTAGATGTTATTTTTTTTAACATTTCTGTGAAAAGGAGATTAGAGAAAAAAAGTATTTCAACAGACACTTTTCGGTTACGGGATTTAATATCTGCTTACAGAAAGCATCAACGTAACTGACACTACCGCTCAGAAGTTACATTTATATATTGCAATAACAGGGGAAACTGATTCATAAAATTTGCTGTAAAAAATTGAAGATCAAAAGAAATACTTATTAAACATAAAACTGAGCTTATTAGTGGAGTGAACGAGTAATATATTTCTTTATTTGTAGGTAACATAAATGACCTTATAAACAATATGAATATAAAGTAATGTCTATTACTTTAGTATAACGCTGAACAATTTGAAATAATTATTTCACAAACGAGTATTTTTAGCCTTGGAGACTCAATTTCCCAGAGCCAGTCTCCCAGGCTGGAATTTTATTTCGTATATAACATTATTTTATTACAATTCTTGTTCTATTACTGCACGACCCACTCTATCCAGTGACTATTTTTATTCGCAGAATAATCGATTTAGCAAGGCGCTCTCCGCGAAGGCGTTGGCGATCCCTGATTGCCCGGAAGGCGGGCCGGGAGAAAAGAGTATTGAAACACGCAGCCGACGGCGCTGTCAGGCCGCGTTAAGAGGTAATTAACTAGCGGGGCGCAGCTATTGATTATGTGATTTGGAGGAGGAGGGCGGGCTATCAAGCGGCGCGAATCGCACAACGGCAAGCGATCCGCGCGCGCGCACTCGGCGGGCTTGAAGCAAGTGGGTGAAGGACCGGGGGCGCTTTCTCGCCTGCCGTGACAGCTCGAGGACGGGGCTGCTTTTTGGTCGCTTTTCAGGAGGGGCGCACATTACTATCTGGAAGTGACAATTTTATATATGGATTCTTCCCCATAAAGAAGCCAAATGAGTAGGAAAATATGCATCTACAGAATTCTCTTTTTTATATTATCAATATTTATTTAATTTTTTAAAACGTGGAACATATGAAAGGAAATATATCATGTTTTGATTGAAACCACAGGGGGAAAAAGGTTTTCTTACAATAAATTAATGAATATTCACTTAGATACTAGTTATTACAGTAATTATTTTTAAAAAACTACGATAGCTGGTGTGGTTTCGTATGAATCTTGTAGGTTGCTGAAAGAAAGGTAGATTCGTTGAAACTAAGATTTCTAAGATTCATCAATTCAGGTATGCCTGAAGAGACTATACAATGTAAACACGTTCTCCCTACGAGTATTTGTCCAATGTGTATAGTTTCCGTTCATCAAATTTGCACACTTTGCACCTTGACACTTTTATCTTTTCGTGAACTGATAAGCAGCTGAGGTGGCTCCCAAAATTTGAGAAAACTGTTGCTGAGGCAAAATGAATTCATGTTTCTAGAACCACTAAATGTGCAGGCATGGAACATAATGGAATCGACTAGTGTCTGAATAATTCTGGAAATATAATCTTCTGAATTATTATCGAAGTCGGCGCAAGTTACATTAATGACAAGATATTTTGGTTGGAAACCAAGTAAGCAAACTAAGTTAAGTAAGAAGTCCTAAATTATGGTATCAAGATACACTAATTATTTTGATTGCCAGTAATCTTAGCATAGTTTCAATCTTCATCAGAATCGACGCATCGTTTTGAAAAAAATAATATAAGTATTATTAAATAAACCGAATGAATTGTAATATATTATGCAGTTAGTAAACATAATTAAGAAGCAAAGAGAGTAATAAATAATTGGGCACAATAATTGCATAATGAGTGCGAGCAGGTTGAGGTGCATCCTCCCCCGCGAAAGAGAACTTTTTTTGCATTTTACTTAATTTATTCGAAACACTATTTTACTCAAATCCATCAACTTATTCAAATTACCATAAAGAGATGTCATTACATACAAAGTAGTATTCCCATAATGAATATAATTGAACTTCTTTAAACATTTCTAGCTAACACTGAAAAAAAATCAAAAATATTTGTAGGGGTTCGAACTGAAAATACTTTCTGGATCCCACCCTCAAATGCTCTGACCCGGCTCCCCCGCGCCTCGTTAATGCCGAATGAGGAACAATGGAGGAAACTGGCGACCTCCCATACACGATTGAGTGATCATTTAATGCCCCCTCGTTTGATAATAAGGGATATTTGTGAACAAGAATCGGAACACTCATTTTAAGTGGCCACTATGAATTCGGAATTAGTTAATTTTCTAATGCTACTCGTGTGCATGAACGTATGTAAATTATTACACTAGCCGTTTCTTCAGAACCAGAATTGTTTCATGCTCATGGGTACCTTAGGAAGTACAGAGCAGCGTGTGTGGATCGGTTTCTTAGTCGCTTCGCGCGAGCCGCTCTCGACAGCCCTGTTCACGGGTCTTAATTCCCTGGTGCAAGCCGTTGAAAATGCACAGTCACTGGCTCCAGTCGACAACGGGCGACAAGGAGAGCAACAAGAATGGAGACGGGTCCGGGGCCGGGGCTGGGTCGAGACATGGCAGCCTCTGGGTTTCGAGCACGAGAGGTCAACCCTAATCACAAAAACCAACAAACAAAAGTACTACGAGGTGACTCAGTAATATCGCACCCACCCGAACTCATTACACACACACAAGCACTCTCACATTTATATACATATATTATTTTTCTCTCCAAAACCCCTTCCGAGTTCCTCATTTTTTTAATCGCAAAAGTTGTAATCTATTTTCAACTTTTTGTTGTTTGTTTTTCTCCTTCTTTTGAACACCGTCTCCGTGTCATTGCGCTGGACCTGCACCCCCACCCCCTTCGGTGGGCCAGCGCGAAGGAGCGCGAGGAGCCCGTTGCCTTGGCCCGCTTCTTCGTGGGCAGGCAAAAACGGGCCCCACGAGGAATTGCACTCGGGTTCCATTCGCTTTCGGGAGTCAACCACGAGGTACTTCACTTTTCATAATCATGATAATTATTTGCATTGCATTCCTGGGATTGCACCAACTTCGTGCTGGCTATTGGGCCAATGTAGGCGTCATGTTTAATGTGCCTTTGTGGTGACTTCGCAGCTAGTCTGCGTATTCCATTCAGAGGACAAATAAAAAATATTTGGAGGAGTCTGGACGCACAAAGCAATGTTAGGAAAAATATTACTTTGTATTCATTTGTAGTACATGACACATTTTCTTACGTAAAAGGTATACAGAAGACCTATGGGCAACATACTTTACAAAGGAGAAATAATGTTAGAGGTTGATGAAGGATCAGAACGTTTAGGTCGATCACAATTTAAGAAGAGAGAACAAAATGAAAAGCTTACAAGTTGGCTAATCAGATGGTAAGGTGACTCACGGAAGAAAATTGCAATTTAATTTCGAAAAGTTGCAGATTTGGACTTTCGAGATATAATCAAATATTTCATAAGGTAAGGATTACATTTTCCAACATTGCAGAACCCCTAAAGAGGAAGTACACGTTAATGAATAAAAAACAAGAAAAATGAAGAAAGACCAATAGCTAAATTGCAGTTTTGCACAACTATGAGAAGTTCGTGCGTTAAAAATCTTGATATTAGTTTTCATATTCCCACAATATTATTAATGCTCTTCCAGCATAGGTGATGACACTAAAGGATCAAACGTGAGGGACAATCCTCAAAGTTAATTCAGATTGCAATGCACATTTCATGAATATTTCTCGAGGCTGGCTCGTCCACACGGGCCACGGCACTGGAAGACATCATCGCTTGAATAGGAACGAGTCACGTAGCACCAACGCCAATTTCTGGCTCATTAAAAAAGGTGTTCACGTAGTAATCCCTGTGCCAGACCATAAGATGCGAATAAAATGCCTGGGACGCAAATCGCCTACAAAGTCCAAGGTTCGATGTCCTGACCAGAGACTCAGCTCTGCTCCAGGCCCCACGATCTGGATTCTCCGAGTTGATAAACACGCTCAAGCGGTTTCTGACGTGCACAAGGCAGTTCTTCCTGTATGGCCGTATTTTACCGCGTGTTCTGGTCTGAATCAAGCCGGCATCGAGTAATTAAGTACTTCTCCCTGGCGGTGGTGGGAGTGCTCTGGCATCTTCCTCTTTCAACGTGGAGGTCTTGTAAATGCATAAACAAGCTTTCGCGCATACTAAAAGGACAAGTCATGATCACGAAAGTAGCTCCTATGACCCCCAGATGCGAAACCGGTTCGACATTCCTTCGCGTCGCTTTCGACCATAAATACATACAAGATACTCCTAATGCTTTGTTGATATCGATATTTTACTTAGCAAATGTGAGAATGATTTTATGGTGTACAACAAATTCATTATATTCTCATTATGTAAATGTATTTTAGCTCAATGGTACCACATACACCCTTAAAAATTATATAATTCAACATAACAGTTTATAACTTTCATGAAGCTGTTAACATAAAAGCCTACGTTAAAAAATACAGAAAATAATACGAAAAGGAAGTTACGTTACTGTGAACTAAACTATGGAATATCTTACACAAATTACACGCAACAATTATTCACACAATGTGTTGTTGATTGGTGTTTCCGGACGCGCCAACTGCTATGGTCATTAGCCTGCAAGTGTAGTACATGTTTTTATCGTGGGAGATCGCAGTAATCTTTCCCTGGCTGGCGGATGGCGAGATGCAGTGTCCACCTCTACGTCAGCTTGTGGGGATTTCCCTGCTCAGGTACCTCTCACTCCCAGCCTCTCTTGGCCACAGCTCGCAGCAGCGCGGCGGACAGCGCGGGGCGAGGGCGAGCGGCGCAGGCCGGGCGCAGTGGCAGAGAGTACGTGCCGTCCGTGCGCCAGGGGCGTCGCACACGAGGCTGTAACGGCGGGTTCTTCATCGACTTTTGGCGCCAGATAGTCGCCAACACGCCAGTACGCGTGTAAGGCTGCAAGCTGGCGGGTGCGAACGCCAAGATCATGTTCACAGTGGATTGGGTAGTTAGCGGATGGCACGGAAGAAATGGCACTAATATATAAATATGTAAATAAACTATGTATATAGCAAAGTCATCTTGTCCATGATTTGGACCACCCACGGCGACACAACATGCTCTAAGCTCCCGACATGTGTGGTAGTTCAGTGCATGTAATTGTGTGTGCAAGGGGTGAGGATAGGGCAGAAAGATGCAGGAAAAATCGCGCGTGGTCCGAGGCCTATTAATTAGGTTTATTGACATTTCATTGAGTTGGCAAAAGTATTTGATGTTACTATGTTTGTTTTGAATGTAGTGTAACTAACAAATGACAACCAGTAGACAAGATTATATATCCTTTTAGTTTTCTCAATTTGACGATACATCTATATTATTGAATAAGAAATTGCCTCATAATTTCTAAAGAAGATATTGTAGAGAACTTTGCATTACACGACGTTTATGGACCATAAAAAACTCAACATCAATCAGGTATGTCAATAAATAACTGAACAGTTACTGGATGCATTTACTGGTCCCTATCAGTCAGGCATTGTTCAAACGAAATTACACCAAGACCTGAGTTCCATTGTTTCTCAGAGCAATAACGAGATGTGACAATGTCACCTTGTGATAATCAGAAATTTGTTGACGTTTCCCATAAACAATATCATATTCCAAAAATTCATTCATAAGCCTTGAGAACAATTCAATTTTTAACTTTTGAGTAATTTGCGCAAAATGGTTTTTAAAAATTTCTGTGCTATTAATCACAATAAACAATTTAATATATATATAATAGATATATATGTATATATATATATATATGTATATATATATATATATGTATATATATATAATATATATATATAATATATATTATATTTATATATAATATGTGTTGTGTGTGTGTGTGTGTGTGTGTATATTTGATAAAACATTTTCATCCGAATCGCCTTATATAATTCGTTCTCCACTTTCAGTCGCAATCGCGTCAGCTCAGCTGCGAAGCGCTAGCCGCACGTCGCGGTCGGCAGCGGCCACCTATCGCGGCGCGGCGCGGTGCGGGGGCGGGCGGGCATGTCGCTCCCAGCTGCATCGCCGGCGACACACTTATTGACAGCATCGGCCCACATCGGCGCTCCACGCAGTGACAGCGACGCGCCCCGCCTCCAGGGGTCGCTAGGCGGGCACGCGCTCGGGGAGATCTGCGGCCGGGGGGGGGGGACTCTCGCAAATGGAAATTGATATTAATATCACTGGTAAGGGGCTGGGTATGGGACTATGTTCCAAATTGTTCCATCGCTTTTCTTTCCGGATTGACAATCAATTGCGAACGAATCATGAGTGGTATTCGGATTAATGCTAATTTATTAATTATGTCAATCAAAGGCAATAGAGATTCCAGTGATGCCAACAAGTAATTATTAAAATATTCAGATTGAGTATGTTTCTGGAATGTGGATCATAGTAAAACGATTTTTCGGAGGAAAAAGGGTATCCAAATGCACAATAGTTGAAGAAAACTGTTATCGCTTCAGAAGACATTATTAAAAACAGAAATTTCACTTTACAAATTAATTATTCCAGCTCATAATTAATAAATTGGCATTAATTTATACTTAATAATGTAAGAATTAATTTTCTACATTTCATTACAAATTTTAACTATGAAATGGTGATGATCATTTTAATGGATAATAAAGAACTAAAGATTAAAAATGAAATTTGTCAAATGTATCACACACGAATTGCTCATTATATCAGACGTGTTTTGCAAATGTGTATTATTACAAAAAGTATAACGTCTACAATATATTTGTTACGGGAGGACTGTGACGATTTGAGTAAAGAAAATCCGGAACTTTTCACCTGAAGTGGAGCTACAGTACATCAACAAGCAGGAAATAGAAATATTACCTCAGTTCTGACTTTCTGCTAAATTTAAATGTAATGATTCGCAGGATCTCAATACCAACAAAATTATGTGCGAAACATTTCGTGATAAATCCTATCGCTCGTAAATTTCAAGTCACGTGGTTGGAAGGAGAAGGAGTGTTAGTGTGTTCCCCCACGCGAAGGAAATTTCACTCCCTGTTCCAGCAGCTCTTCGTGCTCCGTCAGCTTGGAGTCGGACAACACTGATGAGACATCGATTACCGTATTTTCAAAACAGTTTATCCGTCACGTGGGGGGCGGGGCTCTCTATGCATTGTAGGGCCTGCCAATGGTGCGCATTTACGGTTGTAGGGACTCAATTGTACAGTTGGACAAGAAGAAACATAGTTTGGATCTCCTCTTCCCAGCTGAAAGCTTACATCGGTGTCTTCAGTGCTGCAGTAGCGAATTGAATATGAACCTCCGGGTCACACCCTTTAGATCTCAGTTTACCTCATCGGGAAGTGCCGAGACCGCAGACCGTCCGTTGTTCACGCTCGAATGAAGACAGCTCTGTTTACGATCTGACCTCGCGAGAGGGTTGCATTAACTTATGATTCTCTGGTGACATTAACACATTGCTAACGCTGCCTTTGAAACAGTGTCAGGACAATCTAAGAATAACTGAGGTCGCACAAAGGCTACCGGACTCTCCTGGAGACGTGTTTATTTGTTGAACATTAG